TAAAGGAACTCGTAAAATAAGTTCCAAAGTGCATAGAAATTTTGAACCAAAATTTCGTGACAGTCTTTCCGGATGCCCACACACATTTTTTTTAAAAGGCTTTTGATACATAAAATCTTTAGCATTCTTTGAAAATTAATTTATCCGAAAACATGAAAATCACACGATGCCAAAACGAATATCTACAAGATTTTACCCACGCAAATATCTGCCAATAGATGGCCTCACTGCAAACATTTAAATTTGAAAAGCCTTATTATCTTTGAGACCGAGATTGTGTATTAGCAATAACTGAGATACTCAATTCCAAGTAAACGAATTCAGTAAAGATTTTCGCTGATTTTTGATGATTTCATATACACTTATAATAGAGTCTGCGGTATGGTATGGTTACCAATATGCGGCATATCTTTTATGTGCTTGAAACTCTATTCAAGTACATATCCTATGAATGAAGTCTGTTATGAGTTGAGAATGATTATCAAAAACTTTGTTTTTCAAAACTTTGCGGTACAAGCTTTATTCTTCTTAGCTTTATTCTTATTGTCAGGTGTCATCTGACGTTTCCATATGAAAATTTAACATGATTAAACATAACCTACTTTAGACTTTTTGTTAAAAGAGCTTTATTTATGTTATTTACAATGATTTGTGAATCAAGTATTTGTGAAAAACTGTAATTAACGCAACAACATTTTTAGTGGGATTATTTTTTTCCGATTTTTGACATGGATTACGAATATCAAGGCAAGAGTGGTAGCAGTTCGCTCACTGACGAAATTCGTATTCTGGAAGGTCGTCTCAAATCAGTTGTTATGTCAGGGAACCCTATGCATTAGTTCCACCAGCATATATAAAATATTGTACGGTCATTTAGCCTTGAGAAAGGTTTGTTTTCGTTGGATCCCAGGATCTCCTATCATTTGACAAAATCTCAAAAAATGCTCGTCGATTAGTGCACACAAATATTCAAAAAATACAATGACCATTCTTCGAGTATATAAAATTGTAATAGGTGACGAATCATGGATATATATGTATACGCCGGAACGTAAAACAGCAGTCTACTATATGGATGTATAAGAATGTTAAAATGAACCAAGTCTAACAGAAGCTGTTCCAAGTCGAAGCCCTACAAAACAAATGGTCGCTTGTTTTTTCTGAAAAAACTGACCATGTGGCAACTATACTCGTAGCATTACAGGAATACAAAACGGTCAATTTCGAATGGTATACAACCATTTGTTTACCGGAAGTCTTCAGTGAAATACGGAAAACAAACAACCGTGGAATCATTTTCCATCTTCATCAAAACAATGCGAGTGCTCACACATCTCGTCTAACAACCGATTTCGAGTATTTCAACATTCAAAAAATGGAATTAATAGGTCATCCGCCGTACTGTACTGATTTGACACCCAATGACTTCTTCTTGTTTCCGAACATCAAGAATAAATTGCGTTGACTATGACTTTTATTGACGGCGGAAGCAGTTGTTGCATTTAAAAACTTTGATTTGGAGATGTCTGAAGAAGATTGGAACAACTTTTTCGACAAATGGTTCGAATGTATGCAAAAGAGTATTAATCATAAAGGAGAATACTTCGAGAAACAATGTTTTTTTTTGTACCGATAACACAAAAACTTCAAAAGCAATTACTCCGCTTTTATTCTTCTTAATCTAGGGTAAGTGTCAGCAGTATAACATGAATCTGTGTTACCAACATATGTAATCATCACAAAATTCGTCCTGTCCCTATCTAGACAAGTAAGTAGAGTAGAAATGCACATAGGGTTAGAAGATAAACAAATATTTTACTTAGAAAGAAAACATCGAAGATGAAAATGCTTTAATTGAACACCTTTTAATATTTGGTAAGATTGATTCGAATACTGAGCTAATTAACGTGAACCTCAATTTAAATGTAGGCCACATACACACACACTGCGAACGAGTTTTTACTTTTGGGCACCAATCGTTTTCCTAAGAAACATCACTATAATACGAAATCACTTTTAGTTCTAAATTCCGTTGAGTCTTTTATTAAATCCATGGCATCGTTATGAATCCTTCGAATTTTGTAATGAAGTGGCTTTCCAATATTGGTTATGGAGCGATATTGGAAAGTTTTTGAGGATCATTGCAATTTCAGACTATAACAGCATTTTGTTAAGCCTCGTTATACCAATCAAGAAATACATACAATTTAATAGGTATAACCAATGTATGTTAGTATGTAGCGTCGAGTGATATCTAACATAATGTAGATCTATCTCAAATGTAAAAACAAGCTTAGGTAAATACGTATTGTATCATAAACTGATTCTAAGCCGAAACGATTTGTAAACTTGTATATAAATAAATTTAATAAAGAGCCACGTAAGCCTCAAGCAAAATTCTAGGAATCAAACCTCAGGTTCTACAGTCTACATTTCTACAATTTAGACTTTATAAAAATTAGAATAACGTTGCTAATCACATTTTTGAGATAAGTATTGATATTAACACATTTAAACAGCATATCTAACATAATTCTTACTTAAGTGACATACTTTTTTTATTATTATGTTGAGGCTAGTTGAGTCAGTGCACTTGAGCACTTTTACTCTCTATTAACTGCGAGGTTTCTTCATAACCCCCATCTACGCTAGATTATTGCTTCTCTTACTCTGACTAGATTATTGTTTATCACTTCATCAGACTAATCAATAATTGACTTCAGATCTGCATACCTCCCCGAGGAGCCTGTAATCAGTTTTCGTAAATAATTTCAGTGCTCTATCCTTTATATATTTTTTGAGCGGATCAATCTTGAAACCGCTCAAATCTTGAATGTTGTTTTAAATAAAATTATTTTATTTAAATATTTTTATTATTTTATTTAAATTTTTATATATATATGTATATATATATAATAAATAGATGAAACTGGGTGTGTATATCACTACTTAATCCATATGATTTCGTTATAGTTCCGTAACAATGTTTCAATGTTTGATTAGATTACAATCTGTGGAATTAGTTTATAAATTATAAATGCCTCTGCTTAATAAATTCAATATATAATACCGATCAAGAATTTATATGTACGTATAGTTCATATGGTCTCTGAAATTTTCTTCACTACACTATTAATATTTTGATAAGCTTAAGAGTTTAAGTTTGTTTTTAATAAAAATAACTTCTCGAAAAAGCAGCTCAGACTTATTAGGATAATGTAATTGCCTGCAGACAAGCTAAAGAATTCATGCCAAATCGGTCAAAACCCAGAACCAGGGAGCTAATAATGCTGAACTGTAATGGCACTCAACTTGTCACAGGGTTTCTTACTGGACATTGCGGAGTCAAAAAACATCTATCGAATCTAGGTATTACAAAGGAATGATAGCTGCAGACTTTGTTACGAAGAAGAGGAAACAACAGAATACATTCTATGTCATTGTGATAGTCTTGTCAAACTCAGACTCGGGTACTTATCAACTGCCAAACCACTTATAACGGAAATAGACAATATCTGTCTAAGAGACATAATGGCTTTTTTAACTGTTACGTGTCTATGGCACTTATATATAAGTGGGTTTGTCACAATAACCCTCAAAGAATGCAATAACATGGTGACATAAATCCCAATCCATTCAAAATCTATCTGTCTATCTTTTTTTGAATAGACTTATATAGTTTAATGAGTTTATAAAATTTAATTCAATAATTTTGAGAATATCTGGTGACTATATATATAATTTATAAAATTCTTAATTTATTTCAAACATATTTCTAAACACAAGTCTAAAGCATATAATATACCAAAATATGAAATTTTTGATGGTTTATGGATCCATTTATAACTGATGCCTTTCTCTTAAATTATTAAGTTTATTATTAAAATTTAACCTTTTTCGATAATAAAGTATTTTTCTACCTGTAAACAATAAGTTTTAATCAAAATGATTGCCTCATTTTTTTTCTTTAAAATATTTGTATCTACGCCAAGGATTCGGATAGAGGATGTCTCGTTAATACAAACGGCCAGCAGCGTTTTCGGTTCATTAAACAAACGAAAGAAAATGGCAATTAACTCGCTTCATGATTTCGAGGTACGAAATCTTAGACTTCCAGTTCATTAGACCCACCAGTGAATCAGTGTTTTATTTTCTTAATATTGTTAACGTTAAATTCACACCAAAATTGTTTAATAAAATTATTTAAATTCTTCTGCAGAACGCTTCGGTAAACTCTTCTTCGCCGCCGTTCAATTGAAAATGTAATGGGAAAACTGATTCGCGGAGGGGACAAAGGAGGCAACTCATGGCTGCTTTCGATTTAGCGTCGACGATGTGGTGTCACCAGTCGCCATTGAGGTCATTTTGGTCACATTCTGTTTGTGTTGTTCCCATTCGGAAATTTTAGTTTTTCAGTTGTCCTTAACAACAATTGCGGCTAAAACGCGCAAACCCATAAACAAAATAAACTATAAATACGCTTAGATACTTTATTGGCAGGGCAGTAGAAATAAATTTCAAAATAAATTCTCACTTAGCATTTGATGGGATTCGCAGGATATTTTTGTTTTTGTTGAACAAATACTCTACAGTGTTGTGGGTAAATAATGACCTTTGTATTTATAGCATTGGCCACGCTTGCTTGATGAGCATTAAATTAACGCTTCAATGGATAATGACATTTTCCCAAAATTTGCTCATCAATAAACGTGTCCAGTTTGGGTTTGTGTGTACTCCATATTGAGTGTTGGGTATCGGGTATTGGGTATTGAGCATCGGGACCTGAGTAAGTGCCGGAAATCAGTTGTATTCAAGTGTGAGGATAACAAAAGTGAGTGTTTCTAAAACAAAATTGCTTTCACATTAAATTGACAGTTGGTCAAGAAATCAGTAAATTAAATACTTTAGACGTGATTGTATGCTTGCGGGAATAGAGCACACAAAATTTTAACTAAATTCTATTTAACGTTTATATTACTTACAACAAAATTATTTTTCAGCACAATGGCACAAGATACAAAAATATTCAAAAGCAATCAAATCATTCGAACCAGTCTGCTGCTTTTTCTAATACAACTCACTGCGCTTAGAGATATCGCAGGAGCCACATCAGTGGTAGTAACTGTAGCACCTACAATCGAAACAAATAGTACCACAGTTACGGAAACAAATGTTAATGTGACTAGCACAACTCCCTACACATCTGCTCCTCTCACATCCACGCAAGCTACACAGGATGTAACCGTTGAACCAACGCCCGAACCCACACCAACGCCTGTACATGAACTTATCGGTTCAGATGGGCCAGATAAGAAAGAACAAGAAGCAATACTCAAAGCACTCGATTGGCTTAAGGAGAAACGTGCACCCGATTATGGCTGGGGCAATGATACACATGTAGTTATACTAGCAAAGGAGCTATCTGGTGCACGCGACCCCACAGATGCCGATGGACACTTGCAAGTTATACAAGAACTCGAAGACACTTTATCGGTGAAAGAAATGGAAATTGAAATTCTGGCAATGCTAGATAGACATCACACATTACCCAAACCACTGAATCCAGAAAAATTGGCACGCTATGTTTTAGCCCTAGGTTCACTGTGTAAGGATCCAAAACATTTTCATGGTCACGATTTAGTAGCCACGCTACAGCATCATGAGCCCACACAAGAAATTGAATTCGCACTCACAACACTTTCTGCTTGCAGCGCTGCAGCTCATGTACGCAAACGCCAGATTAGGCGACTATTAGATATAGTCAGTAGCGTTACCGATCAGAACGTCGATACCATTGCTATGGTTATATTAGCGTTGCGGTGTATTGTTACCGATCATCGACATCGTCATTTGCAACATTTTGTGCGCCGACCTGCTCGTGAACTTGCTAGTCTACAGGATCCACGCGGTGGTTTTGGTTCACTACGTAGCACCGCTTTAGCTATGCAAGCGCTACAAGATTTAGAACATGATCCAGCTGGCGCTTGGAATCGTACTGCGGCTTCACGCTGGATATTGAGTAGACAATGTGCAGATGGTGGTTGGACTGAAGAACCAGTGCAGGATGGTCAAGATCCAGGCATTGGTGTCGGGCTTACAGCTGATATTATTTTAGCACTCGGTTGGAAGGGTTTAGGTGCTGTGCGTGCATTACAATGCGATCATGTCATACGTGAGAACAGTGATCCTACTTCAGGTAAGCATTAATATATACTTTAAACTTATGAATTAAACCATAATTCAAATAAATAAATATTTAATTGAATTAAGTAATATTAAATAATGTTAATAAAAAATTAATTTAGAAAATGGTGAACCAAAATTGGCTGTACCTTATGGATTGACTTCATCAGCAGAGGAATCAGATTTCAAAAATGTCTCCTATACCTACACGCTGTGGGTTGGCTCAAATGTAACAGAAGCTTTTTCGTTATCCTTAGTTTCCCCTAAAAATACGAGTTTCTTCAAAGCAATGACTCAAGCCGCAGAAATAGATTCTAGGTAAGACTAAAGCATTAAAAATACACACCTTTAAACCTTTATAAATAAATTAAACATTTAAATATAGTTGAACTGATTCAAGCATAAATGAAAAAATAGGTATAGAATTATATATATATTATAAATCGATTAATGAAACAATTAAAAGAAATAATTCAAATAAGTCATTCAGGAGTTTGGCTATAGTGAGAATAATTTAGATGGGAGTTGATTTTAGAATGACGATATTATAAAGAATCGATTATCACTTGATTATAAGAATGACGTCTATAAACGATATATTTGATAATGTTTTTTATAGAAGAGTAATAGTCTAATGAAAATTCACTTCAGTTATATTAACTGCTAACCCTAGTAATCATAGCTTTTATACTCTCGATAAAGTAGTAGTGTCTGAAATACGGTGCTTTGAACTATATTTATTTCTGAAGATGTTGATCATTGGAGTTATGGGTAAATCACTTAAATACCTTTCGTAACACTAGGCGCACTAGATTTAGATTCTATTGTGGGTAGTATTCTGATATATTTGATAATGTTTTTTATAGAAGAGTAATAGTCTAATGAAAATTCACTTCAGTTATATTAACTGCTAACCCTAGTAATCATAGCTTTTATACTCTCGATAAAGTAGTAGTGTCTGAAATACGGTGCTTTGAACTATATTTATTTCTGAAGATGTTGATCATTGGAGTTATGGGTAAATCACTTAAATACCTTTCGTAACACTAGGCGCACTAGATTTAGATTCTATTGTGGGTAGTATTCTGATAAAAAAAAATATCGGTGACAATAAAAATGTAGTATTTTGATGATAACTATGAGCTACAGTCGATGAGTATAAAATATATTTTTTTAAACCCATTTAAAAAGTTATATATTTTTTGAAGTTGACCAATTTATGCGTTGCAAATTTTAGAAATGAATAGAATAGAATTTTTAGAGAATAAGAAAAAAATATAATAATTTTTAGAGGGTTTTTTAGAGGGCTTCTTTATCACTATAAAGAAAGCTTAGCTTTTTCAGCAACACTAATACAAACTTTAAAAATAATAACTTTATTAATGTATATTTAATAAAATTTAAAAAAGTATAAATCTTCTCATATATACAGATTTGCATTTGAAGCTCGAGAATGGCCTAATGGACATTATGTACATACATTAGCTGGCAAAAAGGAAGAACCAAGGGGGTAAGTCTTTATTCAGTTTTTTTTTTGACCGATTCTGATTTTTTGGTATGCCGATGAATGTTGTTAGAGGGGTTCCAAACTTTAAAGCCCAATAACTTAAAAACTGAAGAGTTTTTTGGAAAAATTGGCTTTATTAAAATGTATTCTCTAATGGTAGTACCTGGGAAATCAGAATCGTGCCACTATGTATTGGTGCTATAACTCTTATATAAAACTTACATAAAACCGTTTTTCGTTTAGGTACAATTACTGGTTACTATATCGTTTAACTGAACTTCCTGATCCAAATAATGCACCTGGAAATCAACTAATTGCACCAGTGGGTAAGTAAAAGATCACATCGTTCTTAATTATATATATTTGAATATAACATACAATTTTTTATTTGCTCAATAGGTGTTGATGAACTCATGGTGGAGGATAATGAACATTATCTGTACTGGTACAAGAAGCTATAAACATTTTATGGCACAAAAATATAAAAATTATAGCAAAACAATTTACCATAAAAATAAATAAGCAAGACAAACAAATTAAGAAGTTCCGCGCTATATAATAAATAATAATAAAAAACAAACGATATAAAAAATAAAAGGTACACGTTTATAAAAAAATAAAAATAAATAAAAAAAATTGCTTCAAACAAAAAGTGATAAATTGAATGTTTAGAAAAAGGATACGAGAGGGTATTTTTGGGCCCTGAAAAGCAACAAACAAAAAAGTACGTCCAGCGCCGCTTTCGTTAAAGTAACGCTTTAGCAAAAGTAATTCAACAAAAAGAAAAATAAAATCCAAATATTTAAAAATTTAAATATTTGAAATTTTAAAATTTAAAATTTAAAATATTGATATTTATGTACTCTTTAAACGCTCGTATTTTAAATTTAACAGAAAATTTTTAAAAATTAATAAAAATGTTGAAAAATTTTACCAAACACCGTTCGTAACAATAAGTGATTAAGAATCATCCATTAAATTAAACAATATAATTTTGATATTATTTTGAATGAGAAAAAGAAGAAGAAGAAGAAGAAGAAATGAATTCATTTAAAAATTCATAAAATTAAGTATAAAACTGCAATACTCATAGATTATATACAATATATTTTAAAATTGCAATACCGACCATGTATTTAACATAAAATACATAAAAAAAAAACACAAACCCAACAACAACAAGGCAAGGCAACATGCATATAATTATGAATTCATATATTACTTACTCAAGCTATTTATATATTTAAGAGTAGTATTAACTATCTTTCTGATATCTAATCTAACTCCATGTATCTACATATATACATACACATAACTTAATTGTAAACGCATAAACTAATTTATATCGCATGGCAAATTATACTCATCTTCACTCTATTTAGCCTAAATTAAATTCTAACAAAACTCAACTCAAAACTATACTCTCATGCATTAACTTATATAAATATTTACATATATACATACATCTATATATAAATATATTATAGTTTTATATATAATACATGCCTACATAAGAAATAAATGTGTAATTGTTATAATTAAAGTGTTAAACAATTGGAAAAAACATTCGAAACTGTTTTTTTTTTCTCAAAAAGAAATTTTGGAAATTATAGGGAATACTAGGATATTATAGGGATATTTAGATAAGTTTAGGCTTCTGTATTACTATATAAAAGACTCAGTTTGAATAAAATTTTATTTATTTTTATTTTATTTATTTTATTTAATTTATTTATTTATTTTATTTTGTTTTATTTTCTTTTATTTTATTTTATTTTATTTTATTTTATTTTATTTTAATTTAATTTAATTTTATTTAATTTATTTTAATTTATTTTAATTTATTTTAATTTAATCTGAATATTTGGAAGACAGAATAAATATTCATTGGTCTAACTAACTAAGTTTAATTGGCTGTCTACAGAATAAAAGAAATATACATTTATTAATTAATTTATTTATTTCTTTTAGACAAATTCAAAAAGTTACAACTGTGTCTACACTGTTCAGATTTTGGCAAGTTTTTTAAATACATTCTCTCACTCTCAGTTTTTTACTAACGCATTTATGTTTTTCTTCGCAGATCTATACCCTATAATTCGAAAATAATACCAATATGCACTCGAACAAAGAAATCTTGCCAAAATCTAGACAGTGTAAAGTCGACACTGTAGACTTCAAATAAAAATTTACTATATGAACTATTTAAATAAATAATTAGATAATATTTATAATATTTCTAAAAGCTTACTACTAATTATTTTTTTATTAATATTATTATATTATATATAATAATAATCTTATTATTATTTTTGTTTTTTATTAAAATCGTTAATATTGATTTATATAAAAATGCATTTAATATTAATACTAAAATATGTGAATATTATTTCATTACTAAATATATATTATATATAATAATTTTGTTTTCGAATCGGGCTAAATGCTCAATTATTAAACAATACACTTTTTTTAAAGATAAATTCGGAAAAATTTTTTTTATTTTTAGTACACTGAAGATAGCACCATCAGGGTACTGCAGATCATTAGTACCGTAATGATGACTATAGAATGTAGTCAAAATATTGGTGAAAATAAAAGAATTTTTTAAATAAAATGTAATACTTAACCATTGACCAATTACTCCGTTTCAATAACAAAATTTTTGATAAAAATTTTGGTCTTAAAACAATTATACATATTTTAACAATTACTTACTTATTATTATAGTTAAGATATTTTATGTAAAATATTTAAATTTTTGCCGATTTCGTTTTATATCCCTCGTATTGCTTACTAGACCAACATACTTGGAGACTTGATCTAACTGAAGGCCTTTGCAATCTTTGCCTAGAAGGATAGTAAGAAGTAGGGCACAAGAAGAAAACAGTTATCCGTGAAAAGTAACAGATGTAAAAATCAAGGCAACGAACCCCGAAATACTATCAAATAGTAGGTTTAAATAATAAACCTTTTTTAAAATTCGTTTTTCAAAAAAATTTTATTTACACCAATATTTCGACTATATTCTAAAGTCATCTTCAGAATAGTTATTTTCAGTAATTATCTTGTCTTGGGTACTCTAAAGATAACTGTGGAATATAGTCGAAAAATTGGGGTAAACAAAAATTTTTTTCTAAAAACTAATTTAAAAAAGTTATATTATTATTTGTATTATAAAAGTTGACCAATTAGCCCATTTTTAAATGAAATTATTAATATTTTTTTATGTAATCACGACGTGTCATATCGTTCAGTTGTATGAAGATCCGGTATTTTAACACTATTTCTTCCAAAAATTATGTGGACCATATTGGAACTCAGATATTTCACTTTCTGTCTTTAGTTATCTTGAATTTTTAATTGGGTTTAAACTTAATGATTAGATATAAAATACTAAAACCACTGATGATGGATATTTAATCATATCTATAAAAAAGGACTTTTCTATTCAAAGTTAGATTTCTTCTCTTAAAACACAAAATTTTGATTTAGATATTATATTATTGACCCACTATTGATCTTAAATCTACGTGTATATCTCATACTATTAACTTATATTATACATTTATATTATATATATATAATATATAGTTCATATAAAATTTATATATAATAAATAAATATTTTAATTATTAATTTAAAAATACTTTTTGAACTTTTATTCTGTATATTTTACTTCACAGCTGATATCCCATTCTTTTAATTATTCAATTTTTTATGTATAATAAACTATAACATGAAATAAAAAGCTTCGAATTAATGTGAGGTTCCGAATAAGGGAAGTAAAAATATTGCCCCTACATTCATATTTATATTTATAACTACCAAATGTTCTTTTACTGAGGGAGAGAGAGAGTAAACTTTAAAATGTGTTTTTTAAACAGTCTATCTTCATTATATCTACAAGATATACTATATCTACAAGGTGTACTATATCTACTAGATATACTATATCAACAAGATATACTATATCAACAAGATATACTATATCAACAAGATATACTATATCTACAAGATATACTATATATACAAGATATACTATATCTACAAGCTGTACTATATCTACTAGATAGACTATATCTAGTATATCTGCATTATATCTGTATGTTCTATTAGTTCCAAATTTTAGATATAACTTTTCAAAGATTTTTTATCTTTTAATGAATTTTTTGAAACTTTAATTTCATTTATTTTTAGTATTATATATATTATTATATTATAATATTTATTAAGTTTACTTATGCTGTTACTACAACGATCTGGTATCTGCTTATCGTATGTGATTAAATTCTCAACGACCTACATACTTAATTCATTAGACAATTATGATATTTCCCTTAATACTTCAGAAATAATCCAAGGGCCTATGTCACCTTTATATCTTAGGGCTAGATTATTTACTTAAGTCATGATTAAGTAATCAACTTTGCTGACTTAATTCATGATCTGCAAAGTCATCACTTTGCTGTCTTAAGACATACTTAACTCATCAATTTTGCTCGATTAGTTCATACTTAAGTCAGTGTTGAAACTCTAGTTAGGACTACCAAATGGGCTCTAAGACTTTTAATAGTTATAGTATTTAATAAAATTTCAGAAATTATAAATTAGATATACGTTCAGTAAGTTCTCTCTTCCAAAAAGAAATAAAACTAATAAATTTAAATATAAATATATAAAATTAAGTGAATGAACTTTGAATTTATTTATATTGAAATTATATACAAAAATTATTTTATTTTGAAAGTTTTTAAAAATTTTAAAAGAAAAATAGTTGAAAATGTATTAAATTCCTCTCTCTCAAAAATTTATACATTTTTTAAACACCTTAATTATAATAATTATAAATATGTAATATGAGTTAAAATCATATAATCCTTCATAAATTATCGTTTATTACCATGCTTTATTATATATACAAAACAATCATATTAAAAAAAAAATTTATATCTAACTTAAATTTATTTATTTTTTTTATAATTTTTATTTAATATAATACATATGTAATTCATCTATATATTTTTATATTCGAAAAATAAAAAATAAAAACTGCTTTAATAATTTTATCAAAAAACATTTAAATTAAAATTTATCCAAAACTTTAAATAATTTATATAAATAATTTTCTTATTAAATTTTTATTTATGAAATTTATTTATAAAAAAATTTTTATTTTATATTCATTTTTATTTTATTTAATTCCTTTAATTTTTTATAATCTTGACATAATTTGTAAACTTGTTTTTTTGTTTATTTATTTTTTTATATTTATTAATTTATGTACTATTGTAATTATTTTATACAACATTATTTTTTAAATAATGAATTAGAAATTACATTTATTTTAACAAAAATATTTTAAGTAATTATGTTCTGTTTGAATATCAATTTTTTATTTTTTAATAATATATTTATAACATTAATATCTAATTCATGATATATATTTTAACTACTGTGAGTAGGACCATTTCTTTGGTTTTGCATTGTTTATTATAAAAAGTAATTTCTTATTATTATTATTAATTTTTCTTTTATATATCATAATCAGATAACAATTTTCAAAATATATTTTTTTTTAAATCAGTTCAAAATTTTTTACAAATATAGTTTTATTTAATTTTTATTTTTATTTACATTTTTCAAAAGATTTTTATATTTTATATATTTTGTTAAAATTCTTAATTTTTTTTTTTATTTTATTATTTAAATTATTTTTAATGTATATGTAAACATCATATTAAATTATTAAAAGTTGAAAGAAGTAGTAAGTCATTAATTTTTTATTATAAAAAAAGTATTTATGTAGTAAAAGGTTTTATTTTTAATATGGAAATTAGTTTTATAAATAATTTAAGAATTTCTTTTTGATTTTTTTTTTTATTTCTATTTTGATTTTATCT